GGGTTTAGTGACAAACTGCGTTTGATGAATTTGCTCTTTAAAGATATTCGCCCCTTTAAGGAGTTCCCGATTCGTGGCTGCAAAGAGGTACTTCCTCGTTAAGTTTAATATTTTTTCGCTACTCTTTCTACTTTCAAATGTTCCCGAGCATTCTGTAGGTGAAAAGGCATATTTGTGTGTCTACATACTTCTTATTGAGCCTTTGTTTGCCCTCTTTTCTCAATAATATCTAGTGTGCTTTCAGTAGAGGTGGAGCACTGTTTGCGGCAGTCCACGGGAACACAATCCAGATCTATTCCTTTATGGAGTTTACAAATTTGCACAACCTGAAGGCTCACAACGGAAAAATCCGCTGTCTTCTTTGGACCAATGAAGATCAAAAACTCATTTCTTGCGGTATGGATGGTGCTGTCTATGAATGGGACATAAACACAGGCAAGACGTTCAGCAGATAATCTTAACTCCACTGAAGGTAAAAAAGTTAACCAAAATCCAAATAAGTTAGTCTCCTTATCCCAGAAACTAGCGGAAGATCGCTCTTCAGCAGATTACAGTCGATAAAATGACGGCCAGTTTAATGTCCTCCATAGCCGTCGCACAAAGTGAAAAACAGCTAGTAAAGGGCACGCGAGAGTAGAGGTCTTCGATCTGGCTTGATTGTAGGAGGGAATATGAAAGTTTGGTTTTGCTTTGCAACTACATTCTAGTGTCCACGTAGGCTGTTAAGCAGCCATAAGCAATGAGCACTTGAAGGGTATCATCAACAAAGGCAATGGGCGCTGGTAATTAGGCAGCCATACCAAAATCGCGGGTCAGAAAACTCGGATTTGAGCACTAGTCCTTCGGTCACTGAGCCAAGCACTAACTTCATATCAACTTTCCATATCTTTGCTTGTGAAGCTTGTTGATTATAGCGTGTACTTTTGTTGGTGTGGCCAGTGCCATGTTTGATTTTTGCATTCCGCCGGCTGAGAAAAGTGGGAATTTCCAGCATGCATAGCAATCAGGCAAATGTCACGGATAAATGTACAGTTTCCAAAACCCTGCACACCAGAGGTTTTAAGGTCTATCTACTGTCTGCATTCTACAGCAGGCCACGAATATTGACGGCCGCTTAAAGAAATCATTATTGTCATAGGCTCAGGGCACATTCTAAGGTCGCAATGGTCCTACCATTTGGTCACGTGGGAGCGGTTCTAGTGCCATACACTCTAATTAAGCGTGATATCCATTATATTTCTGGAGCACTAGGAGCGGAATTACTGAGTATAAGTGTTGCCTAAGTCCCTATGTCCACTTCCCTAGAGCACTAGCATAGATCCTTAAACGCAATTTCAGGTGTAACACTGATGATTCATAGAGATTGTTAAATAACTGCGAACAATATGGCTTTAGAGACAAACCTTTTAAAGTCTCCAGAAATCTAGTGAAAGGCCCGTGAGGAATTGTTTAAAATATCAGCTGAATTCCAGACCTTCAAAATCGCAGTGGTGGAGTCTTCGTCTTTATTTACAGTCCGCTAGTATAAACGTTCCAATCTGTTTCAGTATAGAAGGCCAGAAGTGATATTAAGCCCAGGCCGGATACCTCTCAAATCCTGAAAAAGCGTTAGACACAAATGGCAAAGACAAAAACATGATTTAAAATGTCCAGTAACAAGCATGTTTGCTAATTCCTTGCAAAAAAGGCTTAAAGTGCTTTTGTCAGTTCTCTTAAAATGATATACTAACTATGAGAAAATATACATAACAGTTGTAGGAAGTGAAAAGGGCATTTTGTAAGGCGAGCATACATTGTGCACGATTTTGCCAGGATGGTATTTCAGTATAACAGCCTGACGTATCTCAACTTTTTATTGGACAGTGCATGAGCAAGTACTGACTAGCATATTATGAGTTTTGGCATCAGCTGTAGCATCAGTTCTTGAATGCGGTGTCTATTGACCCGCCAGTATAAGCTCCATTAAAGTTCGATTTGTGTATCTAGAATTGGTGGCCATAGGTTTTTTTCTTTTTTATTTTGCCACCATTGCGTCTTTTGGCAAAATTTTTATTGATGCCATTTTCTCCGCATTGTGGTAATTGCAAGTTATTCAGTTAGTAAATATTAATAAAAGTAAGCTTACCATATTTTTTTCTAAAAATTATCAAAACATCGCGTGTTTATTATGCAACCTCAAGTACTCCTTTTCACCCGTCAACAGGCAGAAGAATTAGCGAAAATGTTATGAAATCTTGCAGTTATAGCTGTGTTACCGCAACCAAAGATGGCTCACGCACATATGCCGTGGGATCAGACAGGAAAATTAAAGAAATAAGTGATTCGACGGTGAGTTTGGTGCTGTGCGATTACTTTTTATCTTGGCCAAAACGTCTGACTATTTCGTCAACCAAACCCGTTTTATTTCTGGAAGAACTAGAGTTCATGATTCCTTAGGTGCATTTGTCAAAACATGGTTGAGGTTGTGAGGACCGCCGACATATCTGAAAACCGCATTTTTGGGTAATAGTTTCAGTCGCAGTATAGTTTTTAAAGTAAGAAAGATCGGCCTCCAGGGAAACAGAAGAATGCAAAAATCAACGATTTGACTGTTGACACTAAAAGAGGTTGGGACTGGAAACTAGTCCTTGTTGAACCAGTATGCGGACTTGCATAACTTCAAAAGGCCGTCTGATTCATTAAATGTGCCTCATTTTCCAAAACTGAGCCCCGCAGATGAGGAAGTTAGCGCTGTTAAACGCCAAAATATGCACAAACCAAAACGCCTTAATTCTCTTCTTAAATCAGTTTGGCGAGGTCGGTGTGCACTTTGTACAGGTTAGGACCGGCTGAGTTTTCATATGGAGATTCTGAAAGCAAGTCCATGGCAGACGTAACTTTAGTGTCTCGAGTCAATGATCCCCTTCACAATATACCAATTGTTTCTATCTTCTGTCATTGTTTAGTGTTGTGAATAGTTATGTCAGTGATATCGCATTCTTGTTAGCTTTTGTTTTATCATAAGTTCTCCCCATGCAGTATTTAAAATTGTTTGTCAATTTAGAAATAAGTTTCAAAATATGGACCTCACGAAAGACAACAGCATTTGTATCCTGGCGGATATGAGGCAAACACTGACATCTCTGTAGAGACAGTTCATATCGGCCAAATGCGTTTGGGAACTAATAAGATGAGGGAGCGGGGTTCTGTGATGAAACACTGACGAGAGTGTTAACAGGATGGGACCTTTTACCAAACCCCAAATAATCTAGCGGACTCCAATGGACCTTTGAAAATAGTTAAATTTTGTCTAAAAGCCTTTGCTGACCCCGACTGCGTCCTTACGTTTCTTGTTCTTTTCAGATAGCGTTAGAAGTTGAGTCACCAGACATGCTACTTACTGCTGTCGCACTGTCAAGCACAGGCAGGATGCTGTTTTGCGGCAGTAAGACAGGCCATGTTCGGTCCTACAAATTTCCATTTACTGGAAATCCTGAGTGGGAAGATTATGTTGGTCACTGCGGTCAAATTGTCAAAATGAGGATCACCATGAATGATGAGTACTTAATCACGGTTTCCGACGACAGTTCCATCATGGTATGGGAGTTGCAAGAACGAGAAGGACGCAATGTGAAGTTGGAGAAAGAGATTGCCTGGGCAGAGGAAATACTAATTACGAAAACTGATCTGGAGGAGAAGGTGAGTCTCTCCCAGTCCCCAACGCGGAGATCATTTACGAAAAACAATTAGTGTCTACTGTTTTATCTTAAGTAGCAGTGATTGTAAACCTAAACCGATGGTCCTCGGGCGTTGACTGACGAAAAAGCGTTAAATAAGGTTTACGCCCGGGCTGTCGAGAAGGTAACAGACAACATCGTGCCAAGTTGACTATTGGTTGTTTTGGCTAGACGCCTCATTAGTTTTAAAGGGGTTGCGACTTGCTGAAATGGCTTCGGAATGCTACGTAGCAAGTCCCTCAGCGTTTTTGTGTAATGAGTACATGTCCCATTAGAGGGAACTTTGACATTGAGATATGTGGCTTCACGAAATTCATTTACCCTTAAGCTAAATGAGTCACCAATGCCAGAAAGTCAACTGAGGGGTGAATTATGATGATAGTGGTGGATCTAGATATAAAGCGAAACTCTTGAATTTGTTTCCATATAAAGAACATTGCTTGCATGACTATCCAATTCTGCCCTGTGTGCCTGGTAAGTCAGCGTTGTTCGGACATAGATTGTAAAAGTGCATTTTTATAGTTACTGCGCAGGGAACCGCGTGTGTTTCAGAATAGACATTAAAAAAACACAAGTTTTTTTTATAGTTAAAAATGTCAATCATTGATTTTGTTTGGACTTCGACAGAGTCGGCGAGGTTTTTTGAACGAACCGCGGTGTTTATTTGTCGAAGAAAGTTTACTGGCATTTACGCCGTTCTCTCAATAAACACACCAATGTCCAGAGAATATTGAGTTAGATATAGAACAATTCTCAGGGTTATTCAGACATTTGTGCACATTAGACCATATCAGCGTCTACACGCACGTATATTCAAGCAAGCGCCCCAAAAAGTTTCCGATTTGCACCTTACATTCGAAGAAATTATCCATTTCTTTTAGGCAGAAAAGTCTTCAGAAGGTGTAGTTTTATGTGCATCCTCATGCGAAAAAGGGTTTCCGCTAAGCACCAGCAGGAATCTCTAGAAAAAAGATTTCCTTCTTATTTGGGAGTGGCTTGCACCGAGTCGCTCTGATTGAACGATAAAATACAGGCCATTTTATTTTATCATCGAGCTGTTAACAATAATCGCAGGGAAACTGGAACGACTGTTCCTCCTACGACTATCTGACTGGGCTTCAAACTAAGTGCGCCGGCGCACCCGATTTTGAAGCCATCGCGCGCTGATGACGGATAATAGTTTAGGAATGACCGCCTCAGGATACTTATGTCGTTGGTGGCTCCCCTTTTTACTTCAAGTTATATGCGGATTTTTAGGGAATGACCCACGACACAGTAACACAGGAGATGTTCAGTTGGAAGTTGCCATATTGTGATGCTTGAGCTCTCTGCATAGTGGATTTTATTCCATCCGGTACTGCGCTTCAAATTAAGTGAACCTTTCCCTTTGAAAGCATACTTTCAGAAGTTTTGGTGCATATCGAACACTGGTTGCACGATATATCGTACTTGATAGCTAAAAGCCCAGACACGTTCATCAACAATATTCTGCCGATATATGACAGTTACGAGGGGTTTGACTTACTAGTAGGTCCCCTAGTGTTCCTCGTGTGCTTTCTGGTAGACACAACAGTTTTGAACTCACAACGTTTTTAATTTTCTCGGGTATTATTCAGTTGTGGCATATCATGCAGCCTACGAACCATATACATGTACATGCGGGATAACATTACCGACAAAGAAAAAGGAGACTGGAATGGCCATTTCCGGCTTATTAACCGTCGTCAGCCAGCCATACACAAACCTGAACACCTGGGGCTCTATCCCGCGACCTGTCGGTTAGAAGTCCAACGCCTCTAACCACTGAGCCATGGGCCCGTTGTCCTGTTGGTTGCGCTCGAGAATATATAATGATGGAGGGGCGCTCACCGCGGTATGGCTGGCTGACGACGGCTAATAAGCTAGAAATGGCCATCATAGTCTTCGCTGTCTTTGTCGGTAATGCTAATCTGCCTACATCATGCGCCACTTTGCGACTGCTAGTTGGGCTCTAGAGAGGACCATAAGGCACAACGGGATGAGTTAGTTCCGTAAAAAAACAATCGGCGAGCGCCCCGATACCGTTATATATGTATATATTGTAAATAGAAGCGAAGGTGCGCGTCCCCGGACATAAAGTAGAAGAAAAGGCGATCTCGGGACCGAAAATTCTGCTAGTAGTGTCCGCGGCTCATGTTTTTGACGCTGACGGTTTTACTGGAAAGTCCACACAAGTACCGGAATTTCGACCATCGTTATTCATATTCCTAATATGATTGCCATCACTTCCTTCTGGTTTTTTCAAATGACCCTAGACGCGCGGATTCACTGCTTGAAGAGTTTGTATACTCTCGCCTGTGCAATATGGAAAATACGGGGCCAGTAGGAGGAGGGAGGATGAGAAATCTTAATGTGGCATTCGAAGATGTTAAAGAAAGCCGAGCACCAAACTGGAAAAGATGCATTGTTCCACTTTGTTAGGCTGACGTCCTCGCAGAGTTGGCATCGTATGGAAATAGAGGACAAGATTGCTTATCGACGGGTTATATAAGTTCAGTAGGTCGTATTTTAGATATCGTCCAATATGCGTTAAGTCGAGATGCACAACGATCCATCTCACCTAATGACTTCTTCAAATATATTTTTATGCGTCGGAAAATTCTCCTGGATAGGTACCCCGTTCCTTCTGACTTATCCCGGTTCCCAGTTCCATCAGATAGATAATTTACCTGGTCGTTCCTTTGTCCCCAGTTGTGACTTGATCCATCTCTTCTGAGGCCTCCAAAATAACGATGCTATTGTTCTTTCCCAGACTTCCGTCATGTCTGAATTGAAGACCAGAGTCGAAGAGCTTAAAATGGAAAATGAGTATCAACTTCGTCTGAAAGACATGAATTACAGTGAACGAATAAAAGAGCTCACTGAGAAGTTTATCAAGGAGATGGAATCGTTGAAGGTGAAGAACCAGGCTCTTCGTATCGAAAAGGACAAAGAGGAAGCCAAACATGGTGAGCAACTGCAGGAAGTGATGGAAATGCACACCAAGGAGTTAGAAGAAATTGAAAAGAACTTTAACGAAAAGTTTTTATCGGAGCACGAGAAAAGCGTGGAGCTGCAGGAAAAGGCACAAAAAATGCAGGAATCTTATGAGAGCCAGATCAGTGAGATGACTGCAGCTAGAGACAAGATGCTGGAAGAGTTAACCAGCTTCTTTGAGAACAAGTTGAATGAGAAGGGTCAACTGATGGAGATCCTGAAGAAGGAAAATCGGGAACAGGTGATGGAACACGAGGTAACCAAAAGGCTAATTGAGGAAGACGCGGATCGCGAAATTCTAGATATGAAAATTACCTACGAGCGTCGTCTGCGTGAAGAACGTGAGGCTAACGCTCGATTACGTGGCGAATCAGGAATCATGAAGAAAAAGTTCGCCAGCTTACAAAAGGAGATTGACGATCATAAGGAAGAAATTAAAAAGTTCCACGGGGAAACGCAGAAACTTAATGGGATAATCAGAAATTTGGAGAAGGATGTCCAAGGCCTAAGGAAGGAAATTCAAGAGCGAGATGAGACGATTCAAGATAAGGTAGGGTTTGCTGAACTAGGCTTGTCAGAAGTAGTTAAGAATATTTATCTTAAACAAGAGTCAGCAAATTAATCGTAGGGCTTTTAAAGCATGTCTGAATAAGCAGGAGCTCTTCTAGGCCTAGCCGTGCAGTAGGTAAGGCATCGTCAAATTAGTAATTTAATGTAGTGAGTGTACTTGTCTAAATAAAAATAGAGCAATCGATAACGGAGAATTGTCTGCCTCGCCGGAAGTCAGGCGCGAATCTCTAGCAGCCTGCGGTGGTCCTACACCCTTAATGCTAGATCGAAGGTTACATGGCTGTAAACACAGCACTGAGGCCGAGCACTTTGGTAAACAGTAAGCAAATGTTTGCCATTTGCACCAATTCCTCAGAGTTTTTAGCTTTCAGTATATTTAAGAATTTTGCGTGCTTGAGTGAGGTCCCAGCACCCGTAAGATTGCAAGTAGACTCTACCCACAGTGGTTAGAATGGAAGGACTACATATGTGCACTTGCAAATTGCGTCAGGTAGTGCAACACTAAATAAAGGCAAGACCCGCATGGTTACATAGGTGAGGGAAAAGACAAGTGTAATTGACGTTGGAGGGAAGGTTCGATCATTTGTAGACGTCAGTAAGGCTTTCATGTGCAGGCCTGTAAACTTCTTTGACAGTTTTATACTATATGCAAATTCGTAAGTTTGTATTTTTTCCAACCAAAAGGAAAAGAGAATCTACGACCTGAAGAAGAAGAATCAAGAGTTAGAGAAGTACAAGTTTGTCCTGAACTACAAGATCACGGAGTTAAAGAAGCAGATCGAACCCCGAGAAACGGACATTAAAAACTACAAAGAACAAATTCAAGAGGTACGTAACGCGCATGGGTCGAACTCCTTCTTTATTAAATGTTGTTTTGCTGGAGGCGATTTGAGCAGATACGCGAAGGACGCTTTTCTAAACCATGTCTGTAACGGCTTACGTATCTTTAGTTAACACATGTATGTTGCTTCAGTCGGCAGAACAAGGTAACTACAGTGTGTGTTGGCCGAAATTCTGAAATGCGTTTTCCATTAGGAAGGATTACTTAGATGGGTTTGTAATATTGATTATTGTTTAACATAATCCTAAAATATTTCGGATTTGGCAGGATGTCGGCTTTTGAATGCCTTTTGTTTTGACCTCCTGCAGAAACCACACTTGGCAAAAATATATTACTTAAGTAGTGTGCATTTTTCACATTGATTTTCGATAGTCATACGAATTCAAGCATATTGTTTAGAAAGCATGCACAAGATATTCTTTCTTTTACTCGTTTGGTATAAGATCGCATTGTCTTCATATTTTATATCCTAAGGAAGATTATCTTTTGGTTTTAGAAGTATTAAGACCATGTGATGTCCATACATACAACATCACACATGTCCGTTTACCAATACTCCTCATGAAATGTACAACATAGTCCCCATCCTTTGCCAAATTTTATGAACTCTATATAGTGTCTTCTCAAAGGCATAGAGAACTATGTGATTTTCCTTACGCGGAAACATGCACGTTGTATTCTGAATTCGCTAAACGCTAATGCAACGACGGATCAGGCTCTAAATTATTCGAGAATTGGGACACTTTCTAAACTTAAATATACACTTTCCCTAGGCACAAACTATGAAAACAATGCGATCTTCTACCAAACGAGTAAAATAAAGAATATCTTGTGCATGCTTTCTAAACAATATGCTTGAATTCGTATGACTATCGAAAATTAATGCGAAAAATGCCCGTTGCTTAAGTAATATATTTTTGCCGAATGTGGTTTCTGCAGAAGGTCAAAACAAAAGACATTCAAAAGCCGACATCCTGCCAAGTCCGAAATACTAGAGGATTATGTCACACGATAATCAATATTACGAAACCATCCAAGTAATCCTTCCTTATCGAAAACGAATTTCAGAATTTCGGCCAACATTTCATGAGATCGGTCACGCACGGTAATTTTAGGAGAATTATTGTCAGGAAAGGAAACGCACGCTTTCGATCAAATGCCTCTAACGCTTTGAGTGGTGGAAATTCAACCCAACGGTTTTTTAGAAACTTGAAAGGGGTTTACCACCAAGAACAGGGTAACTGATATGAACATTCCCGGCTGGTTTGCTATCAGTTTCTCATACTACCTGGGGCATAAACTTTGAATCTGAACCACATGGGAGAGGCGTTCGTCGATTTATTCTAATTACAAATGCAATACGGACGATTTCGTTTTGCTTTAGAACTGCTGTCACACTTTGTAACACTGAAGCCGTGAACTTGATTCTCAACGAATCTAAGATGGTTCAGGCACTGGGACTTTGGGCCTTGTGTTAGGGGTCATTGGGCAACGACTACAAGTAAAGGAAGAATGAAAAGTTCAGTCTCTTTTTATCGAGGAATTTCGATTATCGCTTCCAAGCCGATTTCTTGGAAGGTAATGCAAGCCCAACATTCCGCCCGTGAGTTTGAGTTAGATTGAAGAGTGGAATGCATTTCCGCCATAAAATAGTGATGATCTTCTTTTGTCAGTGAATTTTCTGTAATAAATTCCGTGAAGAAACCACCCTGTGAAGAATATTATCAAATTGGCCCGTGAGCGACCTATTGGTCACAGATGCGCACAAATTCGATTGTAATGCTTTGGGTTCATTCATTTGGCAGTCTGTCTAAGGGGTTGCTCGCAAGTCAATAGTGAATGCTGTCGCAAACAGAGTGAAGACAGTGTTCCGAATGGTTAAAACGTTCAACAACGGAGATTTCAAGCAGTTTTATACGCATTACGAAAAAACTGTTAAGTAGGTGCGCAGAAATGCGGGCAACTCCTGAAAAAATAACAAGGGACCTAAGGCAACAAGAGTCAGTCATAAAAGCTGATACTCTCGTTCATTTTTTACGGACAATAATAACTACGAAGCATGTCGTGACTGAAACTGCACGGACATCGGGTTATACCCCCAGAATCACAGACGGATCAAGATGTAAGGCCTACAAAGCAAACCATCCACCAGCTCCGTTAATGCACAAACGGTTTCCATATCTAACTGCCATTCAACCTAACTTTGCGATTAGGGGGACGATAAGATCCCCAGCTGCGTCCTTTAGCTCGCTCTCCCCTCCTTCTTTCTGTCTGAAGAGCAGGCCCAAACAGTAATGCAGGGCGCGAGGGCAGCAAGAGGCTTCAGCAGGGTTGATAATTGTCCTGTTTGCTTTAGAAAGTCAAAATATGGGAAAAAGTAGCCCACTCAAAACTACAGCAGCTGAAAGTGCATTCCGTTTTTCCTCTGATATACGAGTAGAAGAGAGAGAAGCTAACCTGCAAGCGGCCTCCTCAGAGGGCCAGCCCCCGGTACCTCCTTGTTTCCACATCTTTCCTTATCAGACACCCGCCGGAAGGTTCAAACCTAACTGACAGATTGGTCGTTGCGGGCCTCAGACGGCTTTAGCTCGTCTATTCCCCCCGCACGAAAATTGCTTCGTAAGAGTAGTTGGAAGGGTTACTTTCATGTCGTCGGCGATCTGAAAAGACGAAGATTCTTTAGGGGAAAGCCGGCGTGAATTCATATAATGCATATGGTCTAATGAACGTCATATTCTAAGACAAGTCCATTTCCAGGGTCATATTTAAATTAATCTCGCAATTGTGATTCGAAGAACATTTGGCCTCTGGGTGTAAAGCAAGAGAACACAACAGATTTCTCTGTATTCTATAGAAAATAATTATGTGGAAGTCCTGCTTCAACTCCTAATCTATTAGGACATGTAACCGTTGGACCGATATTTCAGTGCATGGCCATATATTGCTGTGCCTGTAATTTTTTAAGGATGTTGGCATAGCTGTGGCAGTTGGGTCAAAATGAATTATTCAGAATCCGCCGAAACATCTACTAATTACGTGGGCCTGGTAGTCACCTGGTGGATTCTAGATGGACTACTTAGGAAATCCCGCCTGGATTACCAGTTTGTTGTATCTGATTTGGTGGATTCCAGACGTCGCAGTAGGCTGGGCGAGTAGCTTGACCCAACTGTGATTAGACTCGCGAATCTCGGTGGGGCTTTGTAGCCCAGGTGGCTAGACCGTTGGCTGTTGCGAGTTCGAATCTCACCAAGATCGCGGAGTTTTTCACAGTTTGGTCAAAATGAATTACTCGAAATCTGCCAAAACACCTACTACTAACTATGACAGTTGAAGTACTAAGAACAGTAAATCGTGTGGACATGTTGCCAGTCGAGACAGGCACGGCACACTGGATGGAAACACAAATTATAATCGAAATTTATATATTTAGCAAACGGAAAAAACCAGCTCGTCTGTTTGACCAGGCTTCCATTTCAAGTGTCCTTATGAATGCGTCTTTGATATTATTGATTAGGACTAACTCAAAATAGTTTGATTAGACGTCCTTTTAAGCAAGGGAAATAAACCTTAGTGCACACTTTTAGATAGTCAAGCCCCAGGCGCTCTCTACTGGCTCGTTTTCCCTTCACGCACTCGCATATCTTACCGCTATTCGTGATCGGAGCAATTCCATATCGAGAGTTCGGAGCATCTGCAATTGGCATTCCGATCAAAAGATCTAGTGTGGGGCGAACATCAAAGGCGCTCACCGTTTGTTGGTCGTTTAGACTATGTAAATACGTTAAAGCGTCACTATATGTGCGCAGTTTACCGCATAAACGAGTTTTCGTCGCTAAATGACCGGGAATCACGTTATGAATCCAGCAAAAATGGTTCGCGAAACCAGCCGCTATTGAAAATGAAGCGCACGCGCCACGTTGGTTAAATGCCGTGAATTGTTTTCTGACCTAGCACGAAACTGTGGCCAGATAAGGCATTATTTTGGGATTCACTTTTTTGTCTTCAGATGGAATGCGAATTGGAGCGTTTCCATAAACAAAATGCTGCGCTAGAGTTGACCATCGTGGAGATGAAACAAAAACGAAAATCTGGAGATTTAGAGCTACAGGCTGAGCGACAGGCCACCCGAGATGTAGAAGCTCTGGTGCGTCGATTTAAGACCGACCTGTACAACTGTGCTGCCAAGATTCAGGATCCAAAGGGCCTCAAGGAGAGCGTGATTGCACTCTACAAGAGGCACATTCAAGATGATATGGTGAGCAGTTCATTTTTTTCATTTCTTTGCTACCATGATCCCTCGCCTCACTTTTTTGCGTCACACTGGGCAATGACGCTTTGTCAGACACATAGGCAAAGGATTTCGATAGGCGATTCCACTATTATTTTGCAGGTACTAAAATGGACAGTTTCCTGAAGATCATCCCAGGTATGGCTTTAAAGCTAGCATGGTGGCGCCTTCCACAGGCCTGACAGTGCAAACCAGTTCGAGTTTTTGGGGCCTTACATATGAACTTTTTTTCATTCCAGAGAAAGTATATTTTCCCCTCTGTTAACAAGTATTTTTTGTCACCAATATCACTTAACTACCAAAAATGACACATTAAAAGGATTCACGCTACTACAGAGAACGTGGACGTATTGCACGTGACAACCCCCGGAACAACTCGCCGAATTCTGAACACAGATAACAGTTAAGAGTCCAGAAACGTGCTTCACAAATTCTCTAATGTTGTAGAGGACGGCAAAGAGGGACGCGAGTTCGCGAGTTTTCACAGGGTTTTTGAAAGGCTTCCAGTTTTAAAAAGTGCATTCTTAATTTCGTCCAAAGTTAATGATGGCTCCGGCAAGTTCGCTTCCTGCAGCCTTATTAGAAGTTCGTTCATTCAGTTGATTTGCAGTTATAAAGGAAAACAGTTACTTCTGTAGAGTTTGTGGGCCTGGTTTGGAAAGGGGAATTCTTTACCCGAAACCCATGTCTCGACACAGTGTGCCGCCGGTCACATTTGACCGGGTGTGTCTGCATCTTAAAAGGTCCCCCGAAACGAAGGTGAACAGTTTTTTTCGAAGAAGTTTTTAAAATTTAGAATGCAGACAAGGCAATTCTGCAGAAATATCCTTGGACAACCAGAGGGAGGAGTGAGTCGAATTGCCAAACCAATGCCGACATTGGCCAGGGCGTATTTCGAGATAAAGAAGCGTTCTTATTACCGGCACTCAGGGGTACTTATAAACTTAAACGATCAATTTCTTCGTTTTCGGCTTGTGTTTACTGCCGAAGTGCCATAAAGCGCCAACCAGTGCAGGCCTGATCCACAACTACCAGATAGCCAACAATTTCGCGCTAATTATCCATCGTCAGCGCTCCTCAGGTCTTTGTCCTTCAAAAACGCTCTCATCTGACGTGAGGCTAGGGAACTGAAGAGATAACTATAATCATAGGAATCTTGTTAGTTCCATCATGACTTTGGAGTCGCAAAAGAATTTGCCTTCTTCCAGTTCTAACACAATAAATTTCCTACTTTAGTTCTTTTCCTCGATAATCTTAGGTTTCATCTATCAGAGGGTCAGAGATTAGAATTTCCTAGTGGGAGCTCCAGCTTTATTACTATTTTACTCCCCCACTACTAATTGCATTTGGAGATATATTATCTGAGTGGGGAAACGCCCCATATCCTCCAGTACGTTTAATTATCCTTTTAGGCTTTTGGGAGGGTGTGAGTACTTAGCGTACACAAGAGACAAGTCATTTGGAATGCAGGACCAAAGTCCCTGCACAACAAGCCTTCAAGCTTTAAATGCTGATCGATTTAAGTTCTGTTTTTTATTGAATAGAGTTGTTATTTTTTTGTCTGACGTACCCAAAAATGCCAGGACAGACAAACAGAGGAGGTAAATCTCCCGAAATCGGAAGTGGATTTCAGCGGGTTGGCTAGATCACAGATTTCCGCTATTAAGGAATGTAAATCATTTCCGCCTCTGTTTCATTAGATGAGCTTAAATGATCACCGATCATGCCTTCTCGCAGTTTCGTCAACTGTATCAGGCTACAGGTGCGTTGTGCTCTAGAAACACCACTCACTCCATTCCGGAAGTATTTAGGACGAGAGAGGAGCAGTCTCCTATTCTCAAGATAAACTCATTGCTGAGGTCTAACGCTTCCTGGCTCTTGATTAAGACGGTTAGTTGTCCTTGAATCTGATGCGGTGGAGGTCTAGCAAAAACCTAAAAGCAAATTAATTAGATGGTAATACAGAAAATGGATTCAGATATTCCAATTTCTATCAATAATTTCTAAAGTTGTACCAAAAAACCGCTCGGAAAATATTGAGACAAGTACTGACCTAAATGGGTCTCAGAGAAAGCTCGCGAGTCTCGAAGGCAGATGACTATTAATACGGAGAAAAAGTTGCCCGGCAAGTTATTGGGCGGTGTCGAAAGAAACTTATGCGACTGACTTGTACATATTTTGAGAGTGTGTTTAGGGGACCTGTACTTTGGATGCTCACACTACTAACTGCCAACTTGGTTAGCTTTAAAACATTTGGGATATTGTACGGAAGTTGATATCGCTCGAATCAAGCACATATCTTCTTCTTCTGTCGAAAACTTGATATTCTGCACCAAACCTTGAACCAGCTCCTCAGGATACTTTCAGACTAATTTCTGGCTAGATACAAAGGGTTTTTTCGTACCAGAAAGCTTTGGATCACGAAACCCGTGGCAGCTGCCCACGAATGCCAGCTGCCGTTGGTGGATCCTCGGAAAACGTAGCTACCAGGTTTTACGCCTATAGAAACTGTTTCTTTTTCTGACTGGCCACAGACGAAGACTAAGTCGAACCTTTTGTGATTGCATTGTGCAGCGGGTGGTTAGACGAGACACGATTCTTGCATTTGTCAAAGAGTCTGTTGTCGATGTTTCCACCTCTAGGCTGCCGTAATCAGTAGATGGAATTTTTGCGTCAGCCAAAGCTGGATCGATACTGTCGTGAGCTTGACGGACCTTTACACTGAGTGCCTTTTACATCGCTCGCCCGATACTGGGGTTGGAGTACTTCCGGCAAATAAGCTGGCCGGCAAGGACTTCACTGCTGACGCTATGTTTTAAACACAGACGGGCATAGCCAACAATCGCAAGCTCGTTAACACTACACATATTGTCAATATCCAATGACTGCCTTCTAAGTTTGAAGTAGGCAACTCCGGAATCTGACAATTTGCTGAACAGTATTCCCTGGACGGCAAGAATGGTCCATGCAGTGGGATTCGGGATGAGGGCATGCAATCATCGACCATCTACGGGGCTGGCAGCAGAGGAAACAGTTTTCATTGTCCGTTTCCTAGGATGCTCATCTATGGTTCGACAAATTTGCTCGTCAGCGTCAAGGTCGTTTAAATCGGATTTTTTAGACTCCGAAGACTTTAGGGAATTACTGCGACAAACTGACAGGACTTTGGGTGCCGTTGAAGATTTTTTGAAGCATATTTCGCAGACAGCCTCAGACACAAACGATTAGCGGATTGGGCACGGGAATAATTGTCCCGCCCGTATTACGGGAACCCTTGCACTAAATTCCAGGGAAACACCTATCTCCAAGTCGTAACGTTACCCTAACCCTCTAACACAAACCCCTCCAACTATACCCTAACCTTTAACTCCCCTGGAGTGTACCTCACTGTCACCTATGATACGGGCGGGGTACATATTTCCATGCTCTGCCGACTCACCAAATAACCAGCCTCGCCTTTACAGGCTTTGAACTTCTAATCAACAGGTCGCACGATCGAGCCCCAGGGGTTGCACACCTCGGACTCGGGTATGGCTGAATGAGGACGGCTAATAAGCAGGAAGTGGCCATTTTAGTCTCCCTTGTCTTTGACGGTAATTATTTTTTGCTTACCTTACGCGCTTTTGTGCAGTTGCTGGCTGGATCCGAGAGATAGGAACGCAAGCCGCAACGGGACGAATGAGTTCCGTAACGTGATCGATGTGCGCCCCTGTACCGTTGTGTTCAGTCACAGCCAGCTACTTATTGCACTGTCTTCATATTTGTGGGTTTTTCTTCTTGCTTGCCCTGTGCTTTTTTTAATCGTGTCAGGCAGCCGTCGGCTTTCAAACGAATTTTCTGGTATACAATTTGACAGTCCGATTGACGGCCAGCAATTAGAGGCTCTCGGCTAGCTTTGCCGATACACAATGATAATATCATATTACGGAGTAAAAGGAGGTTCCCTTGAACGTTTTAACAAGGAGCAATTAAAACGAAACAAGGTTATCCCATTTTTGCGCGTCATAAATGGGATAGATCGGACAAACGGACAGGTGTTCCACTTAAAGCCAACAGTGAAGTAGTTAACAGCTGCCTCTCAAGGCTCCTTAAACTTGCCTAGTGCTGTCAGAGAGAAAAAACATAACTATTAAATAACTACAAGCCTGATCTATTTGGAACTTTTCTTGCAATTTGGGCTTTAGTCCTGATTTGATCACTCACTCCTAACTCTTTATATTTCAGCGAGGACTGATTGATGGCCAAGTACTGTTGTTAATAAGTGTTTTGTTACTCACCCTGTTTGTTAAATTTTCAAAGTTCAAGGGTTTGCTGCAAGCCCCTGATTACTTTATAATTCTACCTACGGTTTAAGATAGACCAAGTGCCAAACGTGTTCATAGGTGACTCAAAATATCATGGTTTATTATCACTCACTTCCTACTGGTGAAGTAAAGTGAACTTCTGTAAGCTCCCTCTATGTGCAATATAATTAGGTTTGAGAATTGGGTATGCCCATAATCACTTTTCATATTGGCCCAACTGTGAAAAACTCGGCGCCTCGGTGGGATTCGAACCCACGCAATAAGGGGAAGGCTTTAGCACAGCCAACGCTCTAACCACTTGAGCTACGAGGCCCCGTCGGACAACGCATTTACAATCCGTTTTCATAAAAAGTCTTTCGGAGTTGAGTTGTGGATTGAACCGTGGAAGTTGTTCGTGCGGCTTCCTACACGCAGGTTTCCGTTGCCGCAAATGCGGTTTTTTCAAACATGTCTCCTCGTGGAGTGAATAACTGGAGGACATTTCAGATTTCTCGCAGTGCAGTTTCCAACCATCCACTGTATAGTTAAGTGTTATCGGCATGGTCCGGGGTAATCCTGAGAAAGTCCCTTGGGTACGGATGATCCAGGTGGGCAAAAAGAAACCTTACATTTAAGAAAAAGGACACGCAGGCGAAATGATAGCTCCAGTAGTCTCTTAAGTAATTCATTGGATTTTAGAAGGCTAGCATGCGCCAATAGTGCTCAGCCTTCGGCATATGTCCCTGGATGTAATTGCTTAACTAATTCACCAGGCATAAAACGCCCTGACATCAAGCCTGCATAACTGGTCAGCAGTCCAGTTTTTGTCGTTAATTCCCCAACGCTTAGACCGAACTGTGCCCTCTGCTCGTGTTTGGCCGTATCAGATACCTTAGACCGTGCAGAATAAATGATGCAATATATGTTCGCCTATATACCCCATAGTAAAACAAACTGCAAATACCCTAAATATCTTGCGGCAACTGCAGTCCTATCACAGAACTTGGTGCACACAGCAGACCTAGCCCACAAAGTTCTCGTAGTGTAACAGGCGGAATATTTGTTCTTTTGACCGTGGAACTTATCTACTACGGCCACGTTACGCGACTGGCATATCTGTTCTTGGGACCACAAATAAACACGTAATATCTTGTGGAGCATTATACTTATGTAATACGACTTGCTTGCGGCGAACGACTGGCTATATTGTGTCTCCCACGTGAGAACTTGGTTGGTACGGCTGATTTACAAACTCAATCCAGGACTGAAACGGTGCAGGCAATCCCCTAGTTTGTGAGTCCAACCTTTGACCTCTGGCTGGCAGCCACGAAATTCACGACCAGAACCAGCTGCTTGTTGCTGAGAATTAACATGGCATGAAGACGTCAGCACGGTCAGCAACCTACAGGGTAGTGTGTGAAGTCAAGCGAGGAATAATCGACGCCGATATACGCCCTTATAAATATGTCACAAACACCAACTTGCACATGGGTTTGCCTGCGGAGCATGCGGGCAATTTCCATGACGCACCGACAGCTGAAAAGATACGCAAGAGTTGTGTGCAGAGCAAATCCTTCCCATTCCAATCTTCCTTTAGTTACTCCTAATCAAGACTTGTCTGTGGTTATGGTGGTTAGAGAATACCCCTATCTTTAAGCCGTCACAAGTTCAACATTTCGGTTAGGTTCTCATTGTGCCGTTGTGTTTTCGTTGACGATTGGTTCGATTATTTATGTACAAGGAGGGAAAATAACTACTGAACACTTTGACGTGGTGGATACGGTCGTTCGGCTGGCTTAGAGGAATGATATTTCACATTCCTGTAGCATTCTGTACCACTGCAGATCTATCAGTACGATTCCCGCCTACTCCCTTGAAGTCAAAAGTTGATTGGCACGTGTCAATAGCAACTCTTGTCGGTAAGAGTAGAAACATAACTTCAGACAACTCCATACACGGTAAAATAAGGGCTTGTATAAATAAGAAATGGGAAAAATAAGTTCCCAAATAAAACTTCTTTTCTCAATTGATTTTGGATACCTGTGTAGACTACGTCATATAGCCTTCAAAGAAGCACAAGTTGTTTTATTACTCTCAGTGAGCGGCAAGACGTGTAAAATACGACCTTTATGTGTCAAAATCTTTTACACCTATCAGATGGCCTGTTCATAGGCACGCAAAAAGTTTTTTAAAACTCTTTTAGAGAAAACGCATAGAAATTTGGCTTGAAAACCGAAATATTCCTTCTCGCCGTGTAATAACCATAAAGTTTGCATAATTTCTCACAAAATGAACATACACAATGAAAATCACGTGCATGTAGTCATACAATCACTGGAAATCAGCGGATACAATACCTACTACCTAATTATAAATATTTGCCAATGTAATTTACACAGATGGCCCGAACGATGGGCCAGAAGCCAACGAGTTCCGTCTAGCTATACAGCTTGGATTATGTTTTATGCCGATCGGTACGTTCTAAACGGACGTATCACAATGGAGTTTCAGGAGCGTAAGAATTACGGTAGTCTCTTCTTTAACAATGTGCACAACCATCTGCTCCTATTTTGTGTTATACAGTTGTACCCAAAACGTTCGCGCTTCTGAATCTGTGGCTTCACGAACGCACGCATTTTTTTCTTGTGGCCTAGCACTCTAAATTTACGTAGCATTCAGTGGCTCATGTCCAAATCACTGTCTCATATCTCTCTCATTTGACTAAGGCACGTATGTCTTTTGCTGCGCGAGAGCATCTCTGAATAAATGAGCTGCCGCGCCTCTGTGAGCGCGTATGTTAAAGTGTCTGATGATATCTGGTGCCTTTGAGAAATGATGCGATGAGCTCCGATGTTCTTTTAATTATGCCCAGAACTTCAAGGGCGACGCCTTATTGCAGAAGACAAAAAAAGCAATTAGATTCAGAGAGAAGGTCAGTTCCACTTATCTCCACCCCTCCCCCCCCCAACTATCACACTCCCGGAAACGTCCGTCTCCGCTTACAAATTGAGGAAATTCCGGGTGGAGAGACGCTGGGTACCTATAGTGTATCCGCGAAGACTCAGTAATGTCGACTAGATGAAAGCCGACAGATAGGGCTGCGCATTTTGGTGTTGCGCCGAGGCCGCAAAATTAATCACGGCAGGCAGCTAAGGGTCCGGAATAGTAAACGACCTTTGGAGGATGGGGACGAATTCATGAGCAGAAAAATCGCGCTCCCCCTCTCACCTTGTTGAGCCGTCCCATACCCCCTTGACTGCTGTGCATCCCCACGCTACCCCTGAAGTCCGGTGCGTACGCACTAACTCTCATCCACTACCCTTTAACAGTTGGACATGCATACGTACTCTCTCACACACACACACACACACACCTGACAAGGTTAGCCTAACCAGTCAGGCTATCAGAACAAAACTACATTGTCCCCCAGTCTGCAAATACATCCTCAATTATAAATTCCCAGTCATTGTCACCACAAGCCCGTCTTGGCCATGGTTTTTTGCGCGCTTCATACAAAGAATGAATCCCGGCAACCGGCTGCGTAGGGGTCTTGAGAAAAGTCCTATGAATGGTAGCCCACAGCAAATAAACCAATGTTGAACCCACGTAGACACCTACTTTATTGCTTCCCCGTCGTGAGTTTGAGCAAATATTTCTTCCCAGTGCGTGCTGTCGTCAATGCGATTTAGTAGATTTGATGATATAATATATTAGTTAATTAAATCTGGTTGTTGTGTGGTGAATGCTCGGTATGTCTTTGGTGCGATTAAAGGGGACTTTTTAAGGTTATTCATCGCGCCAAATCTTATATACAGCCTTTGTTGGTTCGCGCTAAAAAAGACAGAAAGAGTGAGGCCGGTTCAGCCTGAGTTACTTCTATTTTAGTAAATACTATTATGACAGTGGGTGCTCGCCAATCAGGTTACGGAACATGCTCGTTCCGTTGTGCCTTGGGGCTCATACTAGAATCCTCGCAGGCAGTCGCACAGCGACTAGTGATCCACACTTGGGTTTGGGTATGACTGGCTGATGACGGCTAATAAGCCGGAAATGGCCATTCCGGTCTCCCTTGTCTTTGTCGGTACCACCCGATTTACATCATTCTACTAGTCGCTGTGCGACTGCCTGCGAGGATTCTAGTATGAGCCCCAAGGCACAACGGAACGAGCATGTTCCGTAACCTGATCGGCGAGCGCCCACTGTCATAATTAATATTCCCGATCACAACCGACAGGACAACGGGCTCGTGGCTCAATGGTAGAGCGTCAAACTCCATGACCAAACATCCCGGGTTCTAATCTCAAGTGATTCACACTGGGGGTTGAGTATGACTGGCTGATGACGGCTAATAAGCCAGAAATGGCCATTCCGGTCTCCCTTGTCTTTGTCGGCTCCATCTCATCTGAGTAAATACTATGTTCAAAAGGCAATTTGGCGAGCATACGTCTGCTCTCGATAAATTTTCTTTCGGCCTCTACGTACATATGGCTATTGAAGTAGTGAATTAAAAGATATGGGCAAGTAGATAATTAAGCTGTTGCTCGGGCTTGGGGAGGGGAGGGTGAGAGTGAAACAGCACAAGGGAGAAAGCGGGTCCCGGCGAAGATAATTACATGCGGGTGGCTGGCTTGGTGACTTTGAGTCATGACAGCCGTGGGACCTGTATGAAGTTATTCTGTGCTCATATGACCGGTCCGTGTAGCCTGATTGCAGCCGCCTCTGCCGTAGCCAACAAGCGATGCCCAAGTTGTTTTGGATAGCTTGATGGGACCTTGTAAATCACTCTGAATGTCTCTCTGGCGTCTACACGGTGGTCTGTGGCTACCATCTGCTCGAGGATCGAGCTGCTGGTGTTCTTTATTTGATCCTACACAGCACAACTGAGGCCGCAAAGCAAATGTAGACTAACGTTACCACCACGGCGAGGGAAGATCTTCTAAATGCCCCGATTGTCATTCCGAGTCCAGGTGCTTGAGCATCTAGGAGCCCGTCTACTCTCAGGCATCCTGATTGACCCAAAAACGTGCCCCACACAGGCAAAGGGAAAACGTTCATTGTAAATTTATGTTGTTTCCTACACTGAACTGTATCTGGAGTCCGTTTTGGAAACAAATGAAGCCGGAAGTTCTTGGAATTCGATGACAAGTGTCTTTCATTGGCTGCAGATGTTTTCCTGCGACCTTGGTCTCGGTGTAAGAGTGCAGGCATTGACATATCTGGCGACTTATCTGCCTTTGGCATGAAAACTTAGGCACTGGACACATTAAAATCGTCTAGTAACTAAGCCCGTCACAAAGCTGACATCGATACCCGCCCTGAGGCCCACCTGAGTGGTAATTTTGACGACAAGCGTTTCGGCTTTTATCCGATTTCAAAACGCGTTTATTTGATCACTTACGGTGCAGTATATATGCTACTTTCATGAGGTGTCGACTGAAATTTGAAAACTGTTTTTAATTCGAAAAGATTAGTTAACGGTTGTTGTCATATTAATAATCCTGTCAAATGATCTTAAGATATTCTAGTCATGTCAGGATGCCAGCTTTTGAACGAGCTGATTATCGACCGCTGACACAAACTATAAAAATACATCAATGTTTGGGCTTAGCCAAGTGACAAAGGCATGACGTATCTTCGATTTCAAGTTTTTCTAGTCACAGTCCTCATCTCTTCCTTGATTTCCATCATACACACTACCTAGATGAGAGGGATTTGGTGACTTCTAATATATGTAAGGTAGTTTGTTTTGTCCAGTGTTCATACAGATACTACTTCTTTTGGGCAATTTGGCATGAAAACTTAAACTGGATTGTTGTAAGGCTGTCATTTTTTGGAAATTAGAAGTGTTGCCAATTAACAAGCCCGACTTTGTGTTTTCCTAACAGACAGCCGAAGCAGCCGTTGGGGTCGACCTACAAAAGGAGTTCGCTCGACAGCGGGAACACCTGGAACACTCGATGGCGGGTCTGCGGAAGAAGTTGGCCAAGGACTCTGAAGTTCACAAGTCTGATTACGTCCGCATCATGCATGTAAGGATTTGATGAATTTTTCGTAACCGGTATTTCAGGACCCTCTGTCTATGGTGAATATTCCCTTTAACCTGCAATGCACACATGACATCCGCTTAGGAAACGAACTCCAACAAGATTGGCAAAACGTACTGGGAAACACAAGTTGAGTGAAATGGTAGCATAACACCTCTGGAAGACTGATACCACATGTTTTGTCTGTGCATCTTCTTCCCCTTTGTGTGCTCGGAGCATTTGCACCCCGTAACTACAGGTATAAACTAAACCACAGTTAGAAGTGTACACACGCAAGGCATCCTTAGTGGTTCCGACTGGGCAGATCGTCTTGACCGCCCACGCCATCCTCTAGACCTACGATAGCACTCGCTTATGCTACTGTACGGCTGCTGGCAGGGCTCGAGAGAAAGATGCCCAAGGCACAGCGGGAAGAGTAAGTTCCGTAACGCAGTCGGTGCCCGTCCCCCTACAAAAGAACCCCTCTCGTGTAGCACGCGAAACCCTTTTCACTTAACGCACACAGGCGATCTTACTGTAACCAGTGTTACCCAAAATTCACAGTTGTTAAACCCATCAGCGTAAAGAGCACGCCTAACCTGATATGTATATGAATAAACGTAAGTAGCCTTGTCGCAGGGCACGCTTACTCAGGCTGAATGATCCTAAAATCGTTCCTTTACTGCGTTTTTGCTAATTGTCAAGAAACGGCGAATGCAATCCTATTTGATGGCCGGCAAAATTTTCAGTGTCGTAATACCGAAGTGGTCAATGGGCTTTTGTAGGTAAGCGATATGTCAAGTCAGTGTCCAGTCACGTCTGGTTCATTTACACTGAATGGTCCACGGTTTGTCATGCTGAAAACTTGCTTAGGTCGCAGCTTACCATCTATGCGAGTCGTTCAACTATTCTCGACCTCTGGACAAGTCAGGCGGGTCTCAGTTAAGCAAACGGGTAAAGTCCGTTTTCTCGGATCTATGGTGTGCGTTGCTGAAGTGGGCTGTTTTGAACAATTATTATCCTGTCGGTTTGCCGGCTGCAATTGGCTTAAATTTTTTAATGTTTTCGGTCTTTGCTTAATTAGCCATATTGTAAAGTCGAAAATCCCTCATAACTACTGTAAGAACTCCCTAATTCGAAGCGATTTTGGTGGTAAATATGCAGCTTATTTATCATCTTAATTGTAAGAGTGTGAGTCTCTGACATTCATAAGAGATTAAGAGGCTTCTTTTGCATTCAAGTGAGTTGTAGCATCCTGTGCAATACAAATTTAGCGTGATACTCAGAGGTAGAATAATTTTGCTGTACGATCCGGAGAAAAAACTGGAGGAGTCAGAGCCTGGAGGTTCTAATATTTGAATTTTCAAGATGCGGTCACTGACAAGCTCGAACAAAGCCTGAAACAGGATGGACTGAAATTTGTTGAATTGAACAAGGAAGATGGTGGATGCGCTCTTTATAACACATTCTGCACAAAACTCGGCAATGCTTCTTGACGGTGATTATACCACTTGGATTAAGAGAACTAACAGGAGCAATATCAGCCGTAGACAGTTAAGTGGCCACCATTCTTTCATTTAGGCGCTCAACTGAGATTGTACTTTTCTACCGTGTGTCGCTGCAATCAGTGCGAAGAACAGAACGTGTCCGTTTATCGTGGGGATTTTCTCTCTCTCAGCGTGCGTCACAGTCGTACACTGAAAGAAAAACGATTTTCTTCAAAAAGTCTGCATACAGCGGACCTTGTGACGCCGAGCTGGTTGCTATTAGTTCAGTTGTTTTTGTATGAACTCAGCCTATTTAATCTTATTTACATTCCACAACACATCAGATATAAACCTGCTTAAACGCAACTTCACGGACTGGCTAACCGTTGCTCGTAGCTCAGAATTGGTGCATTTTTTCTAACTCACAGTCACAAAGATCGAGGTGATCTACCTTTATTATATCGTAATCTTGTGGTTTCGGCAAAACTACTTAGAGTGACTGACATATTTTCGGATATTCTAATAATATTTTCTTCAGCTCCAGCTACAATTATTTATTTTACAAGCAAGGGAACGTGCAAAAGTTCTTCCCCGTGTTGACTTCGAAATTCCAACCCACGTCTTTAATGCCATCAAACAGACTCCGTTGTGTAAGCATAACGAGTGTGTGCCAAGTTTAGAGATGATATTCGACACGCATGTTATCAAGTGATTTATTCGTCTACAGATCCCAAAACAGCGCTAGAGAAACTAAGCCTTTACTTCCAAGTAAGCCTATGTAGACTGCTGAGAACGAAATAATGTCTTGGTTCTCTCCACGCCCTTTTTCCCATGCCCACTTTTAGGAGAACGTGAATCTTATCGAAGAAATCAATAAGCTACGCGCTGAACTGAAACTTGGTCGAAACCGTATTCGAGACTTGGAGGCGACCTTGGGCATCAACCGGCGACAGGGTGAGGCCGCACGGAAGGTATTGGAGAGGATTGTTGGCCGCCGTCCGAACCCCGTGATCGTACAGGAGCTAGAGGAGGCCCACCGAGCTCTGTTGTCACAACAGAAATTCATGGGCCTACTACACGAACAGATTCGCACTGAACAGCAATGCTCCCACAATACGGAGGCTGATCCAAGACCCTTGGTCGGACCCAATACTCGCCCCCTACCACCAATCGACGGAGGCTCTCAACAGGAAGACTAACGGTTTTCGAAAAAGAAAGTGGCTGTCGGCGGTCAACCTAGCACTGCACGCTCACTGACGCAGTCCGCTTGTTTGTGAACACCAGCGTCTGTTACCTGTACATCCACATTCTCGTATCACGTGGGCCGACTTCGAAAATTTGGGAAGCAGATGGACCGCTGCGGTCTAATAACTTATCTTTCAAACGAATGACCCCTATCAGCATAGGAGGGAGAGACGAATTAGAAAGAACAGGTTGAACTGAACATAGTATTACAGCTTCACACAGTGTTAGATTGAGTTAGACTGCTGTATATTTAACAAGGCACCTCTACGTTATACAGACTGCGGTGGTGCTGTGGAAGATGCACGTACACTGTGTGTGTGGAAAGAGTTGATGAAAAATTAGTATCGCCTTTTTAGACTCTGCTCCACCACACCCTTGTATGTGTTTTCTGATTTCGCACAAATTATAATGTTCACAAATAAATTTGACTGGACCTGCGTTTCTGGACTTTGTAAAGTGGGCTGCACTTCTGCGCAAAAGAAATAGGCTAGATTTGGGATTGTTAAATTGCTCAAAGGAGTCAGCGGCCTGGAGGAGGGAGGGTCGGGAATACATGAATTTAAAGATGGTCCTGAAGATATTATTGATACACTAATTGTAGGTGAAGCATTCCGTCAGTTCATTCGACAGGCAGCTGTGGTGCCACCTGACTTTTCTTTTTCATAGTCGCCGCATAGCGGCCTGCCGTTTAAACCCTATCGTTTGCTTCAAAGTTCACCACTACCGCGAAAATGTAACCTAGACCTGGAAATTCATTTTGAAAATCTCTCCCTCAAGATAATGATTTAAGGGCTAGTAGCGAAGAAGATATAGTTGTTTGACGTCCGTCCTGGCCAAGATTCTTACCACTATTCAAGCATACATATTGTGGACGCGGTTTCTTCAATTCGGCTAACTTCGACAAACCTAAGCAACTGAAGCTAAATGAAAGTGCCTTCGAAACGAAGTCAGGTGAGGATACCGGAATCATAGAATATTTAAAAAAGACGAAACGGCAATTCATAAGGCTAATCTAGCGACCGACGCAAAACCGCCCAATGTGGAGGACGGTTGTTCAGATGTAGGAGAAGAATGAATAGCTAGTTTAAAGAAACTGAACTATTTAGCATGCCTGACGGAAAGCCGGCTTAAAAATATGTGATATTTCGTCCTTTCGGGCCCATTCCACCTGTAGTTTGAGAAGCATATCTACTTCTTAACTCGATGTGAGGCACGGACTTCCGTGAATCAACACGTTTTCTCAATAGACCGGTCATCTTTGTTCACAAAAGTACCCGTATACATCGAAGGCAGTGTGCAAGGATTTGAAATAACCACAGGTGGACTTAGGTGATAGTTCGACCCTCGCATCCGACGATGCCCACCGTGTACTCCACGGCAAGGCCTGGCGGGCACGGCGACTTACGCGTGGACTAGTTTATAGCGAGAGTAGACTTAAGCCGTATCTACCGCTCTCTCCTCCTCATCTGGACCCGGTGTCAAGACAGAGTCAAGAAGACCGGATGCGGGAAGTGCGTGGATGGATGGCGCAGCCGAACCTGCAACCTGACGATCCATTCCATACCCCTGGTCTACAACAAACACTTAACCAGGATTTTGAGCAATAACAAAAGTATCAGAAAGGGAGTTGATGACTGGGCAGCCGTGCACACCACCTGTGTACCCAGCGGGAGCGCATGTTCATCAACCGCCAGGGAACCAGGTGTCAAGTAACCGCCAGCGTGCACCAGGCAGCGAGGGCCAGGGTTTGCTGATCATGGCACAGGAGACACTTACAAACCTTGAGGCCCATCGCCTAGGTAGTTGACGTCAAACACAACGCAAACCTGGGAGAGAATATACATCAAGTAGGGTTTTGCAAGGCGTTTTGAGTATTCTATCGCTTTTCAGAGTGCCCTTTGAAATATCGCCAACAAGCCATCATAGATACGACACAAGCATTGGCCACAAGAATATAGAATTTACTTCTCTATCGCACAGCATTCTGGCACAGGTTAAGCGTCCAGCTGATTCGGCGTTCGCGTGTGCTACATACCCATCGCCCCCATACTTGTCCATTCTATCTCGCATTCTAGGTCTTCCTCTGATGACACGTAAGTTGACCTAACCCATCCCTTGTCCTTAACTCTTGTGTTTGAAACTATCGCACCGTCTCCTATTCGCCCATTGTCTTTAACATAAAAGTGTCGTGTTGCTGTTTGGGAGCCGTCTTCCAGGCCCGTCAGCAAGGCGTATTAGAAGCTTTAAGTAATCTACTTATCTACCGTACGTACACTTAACTAGGTGGGCGGTTGTACAGACTGGAGAATTATTTGCTAACAAATGTCATTCGCGTGTCTGTTTTTTGCATATCGTTACATGCGAATGCTTACAGACTGTATAAATTAATTTTTTATCTATAGTGCACTTGGAAACTCGTATAGAATTAGTTAAGTTTTTAACACCCAACAGTATGCTGGCTCTTAAACGAGCATCTGTCAGCCACCTGCGCAAATAATATCCGAAAAACATAGGTACTTATGTAATATATATATATATGTATATATTATATATATATATATATTATGACAGATGGGCGCTCACCGATCAGGTTACAGAACATGCTCGTTCTGCTGTGCCTTGGGGCTCATACTTAAACCCTCACAGGTAGTCGCACAGCGACTAGTGATATATGTAGATAAGGTGATACCGACAAAGACAAGGGAGACTGGAATGGCCATTTCTGGCTTATTAGCCGTCATCAGCCAGTCATACCAAACCCCAAGTGTGGATCACTTGAGATTCGAACCCCCGGCTCAACAGTAGAGCGTCAAACTCCATGACCAAAGATCCCGAGTTCGAATCTCAAGTGATTCACACTTGGGGTTGGGTATGACTGGCTGATGACGGCCAATAGGCCAGTAATGGCCATTCCGGTCTCCTTTGTCTTTGTCAGTATCACCTTATCTACATATATATTTGCATCGAGTTTTGATGCCTGTATAGATTTTCTCATGCCTCCTAGGATGCAGTGTTCAATTTTTTTCATTTCCTGCGCACATTCTTTTCACGTAAATTACATCCGTATAAAGTATTAAAGGCTAAACAGAACGCTGTGCTTCGAAACAAGGTCTATAACTAGCGATACGGCAATAACCCCGACAACTACACGGGAGACTAGGCTGGTTAGCTGCGGGTTACTGGCCCTCGCCAACCAGTAATATCTCACTGCCAGGACAGAAGTGGTCGAGTATGCTCCGAACTTCAATTTATAAGCATACGTTGCTTAACACTCACGGTTGCAGTCGAGATGACATCGGATCTATGGTCTAATGGTAAAAGGTTGGGATTAGTAGTAGAAAATCGATTTAGCCGTGTTTGAGCCCCGGGTATCAAAGGCGGACGATAGGGCATGACTGACTGATGACGGCTAATAAGCCATAAATGGCTAGCTTAGTCTCCTTTGCACGTTAATATCTTCTTTCTTGTTCCTATGAACAGGTGTCACGTGTTTGCAAATTATAACACCAAACAGGAGTTATGTTGCATATTCTCGAGGTAGACCTGAGGAGTCCATAAAATATACGGAGACAAAAGGGAGTCCAAAAAGAAAATGCTTCCCCTACCAGGGTAAGAAATGTTGGAAGGAAAATTTTCGATAAAAGGAATACGGAAAAGGAAATATCTGTGCATCCTGCCTATGAGCGGTAGCTACACTTATATAAGCAGCCACAATCAGCGGGAGAGATATACGCTACTTCAATGAAGATTTTCTCCACAAGAAGGGACTGACAGAATTCTCATTTAGAAGTCAGCACATTCATAGGTCGGGATTGACTTACGATGCTATTCAAATTTAGTCAGAGCCACAATCGCACCAGTGGTATGCGACACAATCAGCAACCTGCTTTCACTGTGATCGCACTTTCATCTAATCAACCCCCATCCACCAGCGCGGCCATCACTAACGGCAGCAAAGGGTCAACTGTCCTAGCATCTCCCAACCTATGCTGTCCACACTCACCTCGTGCTTCGGCCTGGTCGGTCACTTGCGAGTCCATTGCACGGAGACTGGTGAACCAGTGCCCGGGGCACCAACACGTACCAGGTGCCGTCACCTCAACTGTCCGCATTGCCTTCGCACATCCAGCCATCACATGCGCCTCCATGAAAACCTGCGGTAAATTAAGGCAGACATGATCACATCACCACACACTTCCTATCAACACATGCATCACAAATGAACATGTCCAACATCACATACCGCAGGCATGAGCGAACTATCTTTCACGTTTGCAGGAAGTATGTTGTTCGGTCCCTTGTCTATGTGGCTTCTCTACTCCACGAGAGATTCGAGAGCAGTCTACTCCCTTGTGTATGAAATCCTGGTGTGTGCGTATGGGGGTCAGGGGATGTGGGTGGCACACGCAGACGGACTGTTCTTAGCTCTGTCAGTCACCTCTCCCAGTCTCAGCATCAGTTGATTGACAGTCGACTGCTGCACAGGAAGGGGAGAAAGAGCAAACTTGGCCCTCGGCACATTTTCCTCCCTATAAACTATCTGTATTCGTTAAGTGGCCGACTGGCGGACTAAGGGTTAGAGTGCAATGGCTCCTTCCTGATATGAAATTTTCTATCCTCACACTAAGTTGCGACTTAAGTTGTCCCCCTTTTTGCTGTGGAAAATCCTGGTCAGCTGCATGTGGCGGACCAGAGGGTGTGATGGCAGGCCTAGGTGAAGGTTCATGCCGAGCTTCATCTTCGGCATCTCCGGCCTTCTTGACTTTGTGGTAATAATGGGTGCAGGTGGGAAAGGAGTAGAGAATGCGCGGAATGTGCACCAAAAGTCTACAATCACTACAAACTAGTTCAAGCATAAGTCATCGCCTCTGCGGCCATTCTGCTATGAGGCATACGATGGACATCGTCGGAAACGACGGTCGAACGCTCATGTGACATAACTTGTGAACCGTTG